TTAATTTAATTCTATTATTTAAAGTTTAAAAAATCAAGTTACTAAGAATCTTATGATTGGCATTAATATGACTGAAATTTTGAACGTAGATCTAAGATTTACAGTGTGAAATAATTAGATTATATTACTGTAGTCTAATATAATTATTTACAGTATACAGTATACTTCATATAAATTACTGTACGTTATCAGTTTTAATATTGCTAACGTTTCAATTTACTCTCTGGTTCAAAATAATATCAGTATACTTAAGGCCAATAAGTGAAGAATTAACAAAAGTATTTAAAATTCTTTAATTATTTCTTCTTTATAGATCTATACCAGACCGAAGCTAGGCCTAATTATTTTTTCTATAAACTCATCGCCAACAGGCTGAATCTACAGTTTACAGATTTCAATATTACTACCACTCTAAATTATAGGCCTATAGACTACATTTCAGTACATTCTGATCTCTAATATTTATAATTTAAGCTAAAGATTACATTTAGATCTTTAGTTTATAAACAGAATTAACAAATTNTATGCTCTTAGAATAGATCCAGTACATTTTTTTTTCCTCAAATGAATTACAAATCGAGCATGGAATTTTTTCAATTATGCATTAATTTTAAGTTTTTTTTTTCTTTTCTTTTTTCTTAGAAAATAGCAAATTTATCTTAAACCGTTGTAATTAACTTTTAAGATAAACAAATGTGAAACTTTCCTCTTAATTTTCATGTTGTCTAAGGTCATATACAATCCTGTAAACTGAGAGGCCTACTTGAAGGCCTTGTAACTAACCCGTCACCTAGACCTTTCAGCCTAAATTTCTGATAATTAATACTAGGTGTAGAGAAATGAAGGGACATTCAATTTAACATGGGCGTTGTACACAGAAACTAATCTACAGATGCTTTCTTATTGGTTGACAAGTCTGGGTGACGCCTTCTTCTGATCTTTTTTTCTTGTCTTTAACCTGACAAGAATGACGGTTAGTAAATTGGAAAAGAAATCGAACGTGTCCTTCTAAACCACAGTTTGATACAACGTGTTTACGTCATTAAACTATTGCCAAGTCAAGATTTCATCTGGTCACCAATGCCTTATTTGCAACACGTTGAACAAATACTTCGAAAACGAATAGAATTCTACCATTTCTAATTAGTGAAATTATAAAATTAAATCGAGTTTACGTAGCNTTAAGTTATACGATTAAAATTAAAGCCAGGAAGAATCTAAATAAAGAATCTATTGTGTTCGAGTAAAATTTAATTCTATATTTTATTTTACTATATATTTTCGTGGGCATTCCTATATAAAATGTTAAGTCTGTGTTAATTACAAGTTTGAAAGTTTATTCGCTGCACGTCTAAATTCCATACCTGTTTGGAGTTTGTGTTTCCAACTTATACGAATCAGAAAGAAGAATTATATCAACATCATTCTTGTCTGCATGTGGTCTCTTATTTTCAGATAATTTTGAAAAAGCTGGTACTGTACAAATAAGAACAAGTTTGCGTAAGTCCATTTTAGTAGATAGAATAAGTAGTCAAGTCTATGATTGCATGGAAAAGTAGGCCTCAAGACTTATTATTTCAAAACTATTTTCATGACCTAAATGTAAATTTTATGTCACTTAATTCGGATTTTTAACTGTGTAAGATGCTCTTCGCATTAATATAAACGAAGAAAAATTTTTTAAACTTATGATACATAAAATTTGAATGAATTTATAAAAATATATATTTATACTTACATTATGTAATTAGATGAAAACAGATTTTGTTTAGAGAAAATATAGATAGATCTTTCTTCATGGAATCAGTAAAGTAGATATGAGAAAGCTATAGGTAGCTTAGACCTATATGAATGCGACATACAATCTATTGGTAGTTTGAAAGAAGATGACATATATCAAAACTGGGAAAGTGAGGTAAGTTCCGCATTGGTATAATGCGTGGGTTATTCAACAAACTCGATTTTTCGGATATAAAGAAGGCAGAGGATAGGGAGCAAAACTATTAATCAGACAATTGAAAGTGGCATGTATAAACCTACAGTGACCGTACTACAATGCGATCAGTTGCATTCTATGGGATGAGATCTATCATAGATGACTAGGGCTATTGATAAAAGCAAAAGTAAATACTGCCGCATTACAAAATGGCCATTGGAAGGCGTTCCATATCCGATTTTGTTTACTGGGCTATATCCGTTTTTGTTAGGGTAATTAAATCACTTTTATGCAAGAAATTTTCTTTTTTTTTCTTTCATTAACTATAATTTTTGCTACTTATATTAACTGAATAAACTCTATTGGATAATCTATAATTATAATACAGATTATAATTATATTTGTTCTACATTATATTTTTGAAATTAACTTTAGTACTTTAACTTCGCTTATTTTTCTTAAATTGCATTTTCGTTTATACTATTACTTTAAAAATTTAAAATTCTACGTTAAAATAAATTGCTATTAATCTACGAAGGGTTATTGTTCCTGCTAAGTTTTGCATTAGTTTGATTTCCTTCTTAAGTCAATTTATTGTTGGAAATATTTTACTATAAGTCAATTTAAAGTTTTTATATTTGCCTAATAATAATATCTTGCCTTGCTGATATATTTAGAGTAAAAACCATTGAAACCATTAAACGCTATTAGGCCTTGAGTTTTTTAAAATAGTGGATGTAGATATAAAGTAATTCATTTGTTTATAATTGATCAAGTATGTTCAACTAAATTTTAAACTAATATATAGAATTATATCTTTCCATATAACTAACCTAAGAATTTACAAATATTTGATACACTCTCAATATCAATTAAATGTTATATTTTCTAAATGGAAGCAATAATGGATTATGCATTATTTAATGTCTATAAATGCCTAAAAGTTTAATGATTTAATATATAATCTGTAAGAAATCTGATGCAAATATATTAGACTGTATTAAGTTTTTTAACTGTATTTTATGATATTTTTATTCTCTTTTACACTCTTAATTCTTGTATAATAATAATTTATAATAGAAATAATTGTTAATTTTATTAAAAATATATTGCCTTTATTCTAGTAAACTATTACTATTAGCTGATAAGTTAGCATAGATATTTTAGTATTGCTGTTATCTTGTGCTTAAAATAAATAAGCCTGAGAATGAATTATTAGCTTAAAAATTAATTACAAAGTGGCTTTGTAAATTAAGAAATTATTTGTTTATAATTTATTTGGCATTTCATATAGGCCTAAGCAAATTTTGAATATAAACTACGTGTTAATTATTAACTCATTAGGCCAATATTATAACTAGACATTACTAAAATGTCTAAATATGTTTAAAGTAATATGACATTAAAAGTATTTTCCGAATTTTTATTTAATAACTAATTTATCTAATTTATTTAATTATTAGTAAGCTATTTGATCCAATTTATCAAAATCTGAACACAAAATAGCCTAAATTTTTAGTTTATAATAAGCTTACACGACAGTTTGTGCGCCGATAGTTTGTAAGTTAGCTGTACTAAATCTATTATAAATGCTTCATTATAGCAGTTAAGATTATCTTAATGCTCATTTTGCATAAAGAATACTTAAAAATATAATATGTTCTGTAGATAAGCTAAAAATTTGCAGATAAATATAAACACATTCAGTTTAAATATAAATATACTGAACATATTTGCCGTATAATTTAGGCTGAAATTTGTTATAGGTTAAATAAATTTACGACGCTTTAAAATTATGAAATATTGAAGATTATCGTACTTTTAAACATTGTCATAAAATTTTAAAAGCTTATAACGTATTATAACAGTCATTTCTAAATAAATGCTTGAATTTTAAAGTGCTGTATATGCATACAAATGGATTAATTAGGCTATAAGTACTTTTTATACTAGATGCTATAAAATATAGATCTTCTAATATAAAATATTTACTATAATACTTGAATTTTTGATACGAAATATTTGTTTAAATTCTGTTTGAAAGTTTCTTTCTATTTAGGCTTAGTTTATGTAAACTTAAATTTATTTTCCCTATATATAAAAGCCTAAAGTCAATAATTTTTTGTTTAGTTTTAGAAAACCGTATTTAAAAACAAATATTTTTATTTACAGATACAGGCCTAATATCTTTTACTATAAAATATTTGCTAAGATATTTACATAAAGCTTTTTTTCACTATTAATTACATTTTTACTTATAACAGCCTACACTTAACAGCATAAATGTAGTTTATATAGGATTTTAACTAGTTTAACGCCTTACTAAAAGCACAAATTAAATTAAAATAAATGAATTTTACATTTGTATTGAAGTATACATATTCATAGTCTTCAAGTCTATGTATAATTTCATGGAACTTTTAATGATTTACAAGATGTAAATTTATAGTAGACTAATAGTAGTTGCGGCATAATTTTGGTAATTTTATCTTAGAGTTTAAATTAATTCTTACTGTAATAAGATGCTTTCTTTAGTTAGAATTTCAAATGATTTAAAGAACATAATTAATTAAAACCATATCCTCTACAACTTAACCTAATTTTATTTCAAGACGTGAATTCTTATAAACTTCGACGTATATAGATGAAATAAAGCCGAACGTACTTTAATTATATTTGTCGTTATAATAATTAATTTTACGATACTTTAATTTCTCATAGACAAATATGCACACGACTTTATTAAAATACGAATAAAAGTTTACAAGTTGCGAAAGTAATAAAGATTATGGAATATCTCCTTTTTGTGGAAAGAAAAAAAATTAAAATAAATTGATTAAGGTTGAAAAACAGTAGCATATCCTTCAAATTAATCTATAGACTTCAATTAAACTTAGTTCTATAATTTAATTCTTTGTTGTTAAAGAAATTTAATTTTTCCATTACTTTTAATTCATATTTTAATAGAGTTCATTTAATTTTAACTTAACTTAAAAATCCTTTTACATATGCAGATTCTAATAACTGAATAAATTTAATTTTTCTCGAAATGTAAGAATATTACCTTATTTTAAAGTTTACAATAAAGTATTTTGAAAACTCTCGATAAATCTCCATATTTAGCTTTTTATACTCCTTTAATACAAACTTTTAAAATTTCTCCAATAATAAATCCATATAAAATGTTTGAAATAAATCGTTTTAAATAGGCTTTTTACTTGAAGAAAATCTTCTATTGTTATAAATAAATTAATATATCGTCGTTGACGTCGGCCTATATCCCTAATACAAAACTATTTAGCATAGTTATCATCACGACTGGACTAATCAACTTCAAAGATGATTCGCAATTCGAAGTTAACCAATCACCGCTCGCATTAGATCCAGTATCTTCCTTCGTATACTGCACCAACTATCAGTAATTTATGTCGTGAGGACCTACATACATCATGGAGCGTTTGACAGATCAACAGATAGGACTATATCAATATTTCACAGGTCTCGTAATTTGATTTATAGTAAAATAGTACCCGCTTTGCTGATTCAACATTGAAAGCGGTTCCTTAATTTTGCTTCGTCACAGTTCAAAAAACATTTGATTCGTTAAAACAGTGAACTTATTAAATATTTAAAATGACTTATATTAACGATAGTTTCTTTATGTTCGTTTTTATAACATGCTATCACATATTTTCTGAATTCTGAAAATTTTCAACTCAATACTTTTTATACCTAATTCCCAGAGCACGTTATATTTAGGACTGTTAGGGCTAAAATATTCTATAAATTTAATATAAAAACGGCACGTTTAATGTTTTATATTTAAAAGATAACTCTAAGTTAAAAAAGAATAATATAGATCCTGACGTATTTCATTACTCATTAACTGGTTTAATCAATTAATTATTAGGTCTATATAAATTTATATTTCTACCATTATCGGTTTTTCTTTCAAAACTAAAATATTTACAATGATATGAGTCATTACTTCTACAACAAAGAAATCGATAGACAAATCTATCTAATCTTGGGTGCAAATTAATCAGATATTTTGAGATATTTTTAAATAAAGATCTACAGAAGCATGTATTTAAATATACATACATGCAAAATATCTGTCTGTATACAAATTATATAGTTTCATTAAGTTATTCTATCCCAAAAACATATAAATCAATCTATGAGCTACACAACTAACATCCGCTTATAAGCTTAAACTTATAATGATAATGATCTAGATAAAACTGTGTCCAATATAATGCTTTCTAATTCCAAGGCCTATAAATAGATAACGGTCTGTTTATACTGAATCGTGTACAGTTATTTAGTCTTGTAGTTTTACAAATGTACAAACATGTTTATCACATGAAAACTTTTTAAATTTCAAATGGTACAGGGTCAATATATCTTAGTATTACATGATGATCTAGTAAAGCGTTTGTTTACTTTTTAAAAATATTCTTTAAAATTTTTAAATGTTAGATATACCTTGCACGCAGACTATAGGCTAATAGAAACTTAATTATTAATAAATATTGTATTATTATGCAACTTAACAAAACTATTTAGTTAAGTTTAGTTAGGCCTATATGAAAATTTATTAGCATTATAATTATAGCATATATGAATTAATATGACTCATAAAATAAGGAAATATTGTCAGTTAATATGCTGTTTATGCTTAAAGTGATTATCTACAATAAAATATAGATAGCTACGGTAATTATTCATTATAATCTAATTAGATATATATAACATTACAGATAACAAGGGCAAATGGTAAACTAAATAATTCTAAAATTATTTTATTTTTGATCTAATAGAAACTGTTATCAACAGAACACTTATAGAAGTCAGTAAACTTAATAATCATTTTAATTATCTTTATACTTCAAATTACAGTTTATAAATATAACTTCAAAGTTAGCAATGTTATCCTATAGTAAATAATTTTAGACCGAGTGAAATATTAAATAGAAATAAACTTTCATTTTTGAAGACCTAAGTTTATCTAAGTAACAAACATATCAACACCTAGAAATATCTAAGTTCAAACAGTCTGTCTCAATTTCTTCTGCCGTGTTTATTTTGATATAGCGAATTTGGAATGAAAAGAGATCTCAGAATGCCTCCGGGTTATCTCGACTATTGCTAGATGTTCTCTTAAAAATAACAAACAATAAGAAAAGTCTGTTACAAACTTTTCGGTTAAAGGTCTAAAGTCGAGCATTCCATTCCGACTTGACTATAGCATTGATCTTGAAATGCAAACAAAATATTGAGGAAAAAAATTATTATAAACATACAGTAAGCTATCTTACAATTAGTTTTTTTTACATTGTAACTTTCCAAACCGAAGTTTGTAAAGGTATTCTCTTGTTTATACAATATTGTCACTATAAACTGTAGTTTCCTTTCGTATATCATAAAATAATATAAATATTTCTATATTTCTATATTTCTGTTCTCTTAAGCAATATCGCAAGCTTATTTTGGTAGTGTACTGTGTATAAATACGAATTTTTGTATAGGAATTACATCAGTTAATAGAACCTAGTGCTTCACCTAAGAAACTAGGCTAAACAATGTATTTCACTGTAGGCCTTAATGTATTTATATCAAGAATTATAAATTTTACATAAGTTTTATAAAAATGTTAGTTAGATATAATTATTTTTAGAACAATTTTCAAGAATCTTAAGCATTATTGTGTCAAGTCTACTAATAAAATTAATTTTTTTTTCAAAAATACAGTATATACTTAATATAGGCCTAAAATAGGCCTACAGTTTTACGAGAATATTATCACCTAAACAAGAAATTTGTGTATGCTGTATGCTTATAACTGTATGCTGTGGTGCATATTAAATAAAAGAAAAACGAAAATATTGATATGGTAAAGTTTGTTAATTTAACTGAAATCTAATTTTACTTCAAAATATTTTCTAAATTAATTTCCTAAATTGAAATATAGACAGGAATGTAGAATCAAATACATCTAATACAATATTAGATATAGCCACATAAATATGTAAGAAATAGCCTAACAGTTTATTCAGTTCAATTTATTATCATAATAGTAGCCTATATTTAAAGAATAGAAGAAAAGGAATGATGCAACAGATAGAGACTTTTATATATCTTATGACGAGTTAAAAAATAAAGTACTATTCTTTTTCGAAACAGAAGCTAGTCTATGGATAAAAACAATAAAATAATGGCTACAAACCGAAAAAATATACAGTTGGTTTTCACCAGGGAATTGTTCAGTTCATGATCGCCAAAGAGAAACTTGATCAATAGGATACTATTTTACGATCTTCACAAAGTGTCCGTTAACGAATTTTTAGTGCTGTTACGAAAGAATTTATCGTAGACGGTATACAGTTATGGCCTATCTGTGGCTGAACTGAATCTCTCAGGGCTATTCACATTGTCTTGAGCATGTTTGTCGGAAAAATGAAAAATGAATTGCCGATAGTTCACACCTTCCAGAAATTTTGCAGTTGCAATTCTGAAAAATACAAACTCTTAAAATATACTTAAAGATTATTTTATGATGCCATAATTATTATAATTCATAATAATTTTTCTATATAATTCTAAGTGAATATTATGAATAGGAAAACAAAATATATAGCTTATAATAATATTATTGAAAATTAAGTAAATTATATTTATTAATTTACATTTTAATTTAGCTTCAATTAATACTTGTCGTCAAATTGTATAGTTCTATGCATGATAAAATATTAAATATATTAGTCTAAATGTAATAATTTGCATTTTTATATTAAGTTTCATTAATTGCTACACTGTATAAAACTACTTACAATTTTTTTTTCTGTATGATGTTTGGATTTAGATCTAAGAATGAAATAAACGAAATTTTCTATTATCTATTAACATTTATAAAATATATATTTATTTAAATGATCAATCAATATTCAAATAAGCTATGATTAACGACATTTTTACAATGATTTTTACATGTTATCTAGTAATTTTTTTATTTTGAATGCAAATATTACACAGCAATTTGTAAGTTACATAATATAATATAATATAATATAAAAATGAATTTTAAAATTTGCAATAAATTTAAATCAATAGCATAGTTTGCCAATATTGACCTTAAACTTTTTATAGTTATAAAAAATATTAAAAAATTAGATTTATTTTGATAAAATGGCTTATGAAAAAAATCTTTATTGTCTATACTGTCTAATACCTTTTAAATTATTAAAAATATTTGAATTATTTTCTATAAACTAACAGTTAAGATCATTTAATTTCATATCATGTAATATATTAAAATAAAGAAATATAATTCAATAAAAGTAAATAGTAGCTTATACATACAAATCTTTAATATGAAATATTCTTTATTGAAAAAATGTTTTAAAATATTTTGCATTTTATTATACTTTATATTTTTAATATATTATTAAAATATTTAAATAAATAAATACAAAAATATATATATATATATTAATTTTACTCATGACCGACAGATGGCATCCTATATCAGCCAAAGCTGATTATATGTAGAGAACAATGAATTTTGTCCAATTGCCAAGCATTTAAGTTGTTGGCCTCTTTTTTGACTCCGCCTCCAACGACTTTCTTCTGTTTAGTTATCCAATCCTGTGATAAAGTAGAAAAATAGCGGGAATAATTAAAATATACATTTTAAATAGTCACATTTTTGCTGATTTATAATTATTTTTTTTAGTTATTAGTAGTTCAAATATAATAAAAAAAAAAAGAAATATTTCCAATTTAGAGAGGTAATACATATAAAATTATAATTCAAAAGATATATTTAAAAAAAAAAATTAGTTTGTAATTTTGAAGGAAAAAAATAAAAAAATAAAAAAAATTCTAGTTGAATATAGACGATTATCTTCGAATCGGTTAGAAGCTGGAGAAGTAAGTAATGCCTCGACTAAAGCAACAGAGCACGTACGTTTTGGTAATCTTAATTTCCTTCTGTAGCCAAGGGAGACGACTTGGTTTATTACCGACTTTTAATTTTATGCCTCATTTGCGACGATTTAAGTGGCCCTATTACTCCCGTGCACCCGACACGTTTTAATGCATCAATTCATCGTCTAGAGATCTCCAGAGTGCTGTAAAACTACCGTCACGGAAGTTCGTGACGAGTACGTCACGTAGTCTATACGGGATGCTGATGCGTGAGGGACACACGCATTCACACACACATAGACACATATATACACACACACACATACACACACACACTCACTCACAAGCTCTGAGCAAGTTTTTTGTATCATTTAAAGAAATAGACCTACAAGGTTGAAGTAAATACTATAGTATAATAGCCTATGAGGTCTAAAAAATCCTACTTTATCCAAACACGTTTTCCAAATCTCTTTAAGAATTTTAAGAAATATTCTGAAAACGTGATCGGTAAGAAGGAAAGAAAAAAATTAAATTTTTTTTTTTACTAAATAGGATTGAAGAGAGATCATATTTTAAATAAAAATTCAAAATTAGGCCTATTTAAGCTTCCTATTAAATAAAATATTCATTAATAAAAACGAATATTAATTTAACTTAATTATAATGTAAATTGCTTGAAAAATTATTTTTAAATTGAAATTATTAAGTGAGAAAGTATTCTTTCTTATCAACAGGTGTATTTTGAATTGTTTTTTTCTCGAGGAAAGGGAAATATAGGCTAATTTTAAATTATTCTTATTAAAATTTATGTTCGTAACTTCTCTTCGTTTAAATTATAGGCTGAGAGTCAATAACAAGCTAATGATTGTAGCCTATAGGATATTTTAAAATAGATGATCTAATGCTAAACTTGATAATTGATTGCAACCGGTATTCTATTTGATACATAAATAAATTAATTTATTTTTTGAATTACAGAGGCTGGGGGATGAAATTATATGTGGCGGAGATTATTTCTATAATAGATCAATTTAGTCAATTCTTTGTCGCATAAAGACTTTAGGGTGAAAGAGTTTATGTCTTCATTTCCGAAATTGACTACACCTTTACAATGGGATAACATGGATTCATCAACATTTCATTATTTAGATCTAGACTAGAGCGGAAATCTTAGTTGTATTTTTTTTTTTTTTTTTATTTGAACCTGTAAAATATTGTTGAATTTAATGGGATATTTTGTATGATAGAAAGCATAGAAATCATAAGATTTTTTGGCAATTTTTATATTACAGTATTAAGTTTCTATTTATAGAAAGATAATTTTATTAATCCCATAATTTATTCGTTCCAGGTGACATACAAAGGCGTTATAATTCTAGTTTTGTTACTATGTATTTTTAACATTATAATTTTTAAAAATTTTCATATCTTTAGATTATTTACTTCTTTAATAAATTGTGAATATTTAATTAATTATATGTAGGCAATTTAATTAATTAAAATTAAATTTATAATTTTTATTTAGTAAAATTAATGTTTTCCTGAAAATTTTCAATTATACAATTGATTTTAAGCATGTTTATTCTTATTTTCACAATACCAGAAAATACTTTAAACGAGTGGAATGAAATATTATTTCAGTTTCGCTGTTTTACCGACAGAGGGCAGCACTATAATCACCGGCAGGGCGAAGATCGATTATTAATGTTCATACAGCCTAAACTTAAATGAGGGAAAGTGGACACGTGGTGCAGACCGGGGTCCAGGGAAGATAATGGCTGACATCGGAGATATTCTTGGCATAGGCTACTCTGTTGATCGAGTATGTCAATGGCAATTGCAAAAGATAAATGAAAGTGGCATTTAATATATCAAAGAAAAGAGTATGGGCAGCTCATCATTGCTTAATCGAGCTGTAAGTAATTGAAACGAAGTAGTTCCTGCTTCTCACCACACAACCATCTATCACGACGTTATTTTTTTTTTTGCATTGACTTGATTTCTATATGAAATAAAAACCTTACTTATGTTTTAATTGCATAAACGCGCATTGCATTTACCTTAGTTTATTCTGCAATTAAAATATAGGCTAATTTTATCTACAAAAAGTAACCGGATAGACTTGTTTTTATGGAATTAATAATATATTAATTTTTATCGATTTGTTTTATCTACAGTTTTATCATTTTTTTAGTGATTGTAAGGGAAAAGCACTTAAATAGCCTATGTATATTTACTATTAGTTAGCAAAAAATTAATTTTTACAGTCATTAAAGTTTGAGGATATATTTGAGAGATAATAATCAGGTTGTAAAAACCTACAAAATTATGTGTCAGCATAAAACTGCCTTTTATCGTAGGTTTAGATGATTTTGAAGTTTTTAAAATGAGATAATGCTTGTTTTACATTTACAAACTTCTGTTAAATTATGTAATTTTATTGCAGAAAGAAAGCATCAATCTTTTAGTGAGACTAAAAGAAATAAGATATATATTGTTGTTGAATTTAAAATAATATAAATGTTAAGTTTAAATAAATATTTGATAGAAAAACTTGTTTAATATCAGTAATTATTTTTTTTTTCTAGAAGAAAGATTTTAATATCTTTCTGTATGTATATGTTTAAGTTAACTACTGATCAAGGTCATATAATTGAATAAGGTTAAACTCAAGAAGTTGTAAATTGGCCTAATTATAAAGTAAATAAAGCTAATTCACATTGTTTTTCTTTCTATTATGATATTTAACACTACAAGTAGAAAACCCAACCTCTTCTACAGAAAATAGTAGGACCATTTCTTATGCTACAATATATTTATAATTTCTGCTTCTTCAATTAGAACTGAATATATACTACACAACATAAAAGTTGTTACTAGCTTGATGTAGTATACGAATTAGAATTGGCTTTATACTTTAATTGTGGACATTTTTATTATAAAAACAGCATTTTCGTAAACTTATATTGATGAAGAATAATTTTATCATTTGATTACGTTGTTATAAAAATTATAATGTACAGTAATAAGCTTTTATACTGTCATTTGCTCTACCATATTTAATTAGATCGGCTATTACTTTACTTAATTATAAGAGTATGTGTTGAATATAAGAAAATAATGGAATGAATCTGTAAAACTTTTGAACTAAATGTTAAGAAATAACCTAGATACACCTATTAATAAAAGTCTAATTTATTTGATACCATTAAAAAATTTTTTTAGACCTAACTATTAACTATTTAGTTACAACCTTTAAGAATTTTTATAAATATAAAATAATATTTTTTGTTTACATTTCATGAATAGGTTCTATGATTTAATTATCCAATTATACTTCTATCAAGGAAAGAAAAAATAATTTCTACGTCCAGTTATAACGTTTTACTCATATTCTGTTTGAATGACAGTAGATAATAAATTGATCTATTGTTCGCGACAACAAATTATAGTAATTATTATAAATGGTATTTTTAAGCCAAATCAGATATGAAGCTACTGGAAACTATTTGATTTTCAAATATTTTAAATTTCTTCAATTTTATATCCGAGTCCAATTAGGATATTCATTTTAAATTTGTTAAATGGAACTTTTTACAAACGTAGATGGAATTGGAAAATATTTCAGGCCTAATAATCTTTGAAATATTTAGTTATTGAAGTGAAAATTTAAAATGTGTCCTAAAAATATATTTACTTCACAAATATACAATTGTGTGAGATAGCGAGTAAACATTTAGATAGGTAAGTCTGTTTTAAAGTTCAGATAAACCACTAAAAAAATGTAAACCCTCGTGACACCAGAAACTTTCCTTCGGGCTGTGACATTTTTGAAGGTCGTACATAGCTTCAGCCGCTTCTATGCTCCTCCCAAAAGTTGGAAGGTAGTCGAGCGACAGTTAATAAATGCAAAACTTGGTGTAGTCAAAAAGAAACCGTTTAGAATGCAATTTCTACAGCAGAAATAAGAAACATCGAAAGAAGTTGAATGAAAAAAAATAAAAAAAATAAATGAGCTACACGAAGGGGTGGATGGAGAAAGTAAATTAAACTGGAGAATTGTATGCCTCAGTCGTTATAGATTAACTGAAGAGATTTATAAGCTAATAGAAGTTTTGTTCATTACCGGACTTCAGATATGAACTGAGAAGTGAAAGGATGGTCTTCGTTTATTTGACGCTTGGTGATTGGATGGAAAAGATTCTGACGGTGAGATTATCTTCAAACCAATGAATCCTTGCAAACGTTTTAGGATATACACGGATGTGTTTAGTGTTAGATTCTATTAATATGCAAATTCTTGTATGCTTCTTCAATATTTAAAATTCTGCTCGTATTTTGATAATGAACGTCAGTAGATGAATTGAACCCTGCAATATAAACTAGTTTAGTTAATGTAATTTACTTTAAACGAATATTTAGCCAATTTAATTAAGAAAATTGCTATTTCATTAAGAAAATAAGGATTTATGGTCTATATTTATAATAGAGTGGTGAACTAAGAATAGCTCATCTTCAAATCAGATGTTTAAAGTTTATTTTTAACAACTTAGTTTACGCTCCAATCATATCTTATAGGCCTACGTTTATTTTCACAAAGAAATGTAAATAGATGTAATTGTTAGCAATTAATTTTGATATAAATATGCTCAATGTATTTTGATTTTATTTATATTCTAATCTATATTAAATAAGCGTAGTTCGGATAAGTTTTATTTAGGTCATAAACGTGTCTTTTAATGAAAAAATTTAAGGTCTTTATTCGAATATTTATACTGTCATTTATATGTAAATTTTTTATCCATAAGCCTGCAGAATCTATTGATTTTTATCATTTAACATTTCTTAATTTAACCAAATAAAAATAATTAATTATGAGTCTTGTAGATTTATAAATTAAAAATTATATAGGCCCTATATAATATAATATAATAACTGTCATTATTTCACAAAGAAAACTTGAAGAAAATCTGAGAGTGCAAAAAATGTTTTCAGATAAAAATTGCTATATTTGGGTACTGATTTACTATTAAAAATGCATGGCTTCACATTCACCAATAAGATGATTGAGTATAGAAAAAAATATTATTTTCTTTTATAAAAATATTAAGATTATTCTATATTTATATGTAGAATAAATTTTGTTTTCTATGCTCTTAGAATAGATTCAGTACATTTTTTTTCCTCAAATGAATTACAAATCGAGCATGGAATTTTTTCAATTATGCATTAATTTTAAGTTTTTTTTTTCTTTTCTTTTTTCTTAGAAAATAGCAAATTTATCTTAAACCGTTGTAATTAACTTTTAAGATAAACAAATGTGAAACTTTCCTCTTAATTTTCATGTTGTCTAAGGTCATATACAATCCTGTAAACTGAGAGGCCTACTTGAAGGCCTTGTAACTAACCCGTCACCTAGACCTTTCAGCCTAAATTTCTGATAATTAATACTAGGTGTAGAGAAATGAAGGGACATTCAATTTAACATGGGCGTTGTACACAGAAACTAATCTACAGATGCTTTCTTATTGGTTGACAAGTCTGGGTGACGCCTTCTTCTGATCTTTTTTTCTTGTCTTTAACCTGACAAGAATGACGGTTAGTAAATTGGAAAAGAAATCGAACGTGTCCTTCTAAACCACAGTTTGATACAACGTGTTTACGTCATTAAACTATTGCCAAGTCAAAATTTCATCTGGTCACCAATGCCTTATTTGCAACACGTTGAACAAATACTTCGAAAACGAATAGAATTCTACCATTTCTAATTAGTGAAATTATAAAATTAAATATCTCAGATTACTATTTTATCTAAATAATTTCTTATTATAACACAAATTTTCTAATGGTTTTAAAATTAATAAAATAAACATAAATATTTTAAATTAAGAATGAAATATAAATCCAAGTTTGAGATTTTTAATAATTTAGCAAAAGAAAAAAAAATTAATTATGTTAAATATTTAAGTTATAGTTTTGTAATTATTAAAAATAATTTATATAAAAACTGCAAATTTAATCTTTAAATCTTTAAATAATTAAGTCTGAATAGAATATATAGCTAAATCACATTGAAATAATCATCTCATATTCATTTTCAATGCTTCTACTTTAATTTAAAGTTTAGATACGAATTTCATTATCTAGAATATATTTCCTGTGGCAAAACTTTTCATATATTTTAATCCTCTCATCGTAATTAAGTGAAATCTTTAAAAGATTTAAATACAATAACATTATAAAAAATAGATTGTATGATAAGTTATAGCTTAAATAATAAATGTATTATTCAAAGATTAATATTAAATTGTTGTTCGAAAGAAATGTAAATAAACAAGTTATTACCAACCTTAAAACATTATTTTTCTGCTATAATTTTGGACAATATTATTTTATTTCCACATCTTGACTAGTTAACCTTCGTTAAACTCAGGTCAGTCAGGTTCTTCCACTTTCAAGGACAAAATTTTTAGTTCATGACAGATCATATTCTTTTTTTATTTTGAACTTGCATTCATTCTTCTAAAAAAAGCAAAATTACAGTCAGTTAAACAAATTGAAATTTGCATAATTATGGCTTTTGTAATTTAATGTAAAATGTTTCGTTTTTTTATTTAACTTAAAATGCATACTTTAATTTTCTTCAAAACGATTCAAGTAATCTGGGAGTATAAAAAGTTGCATATATATATATATATATATTTTTTTTTGCAAATGTTTAAAAAAAATGTTCTAGATTCCACAGGTACTTAAACCTATATTTAGTATAACCTAGTAGCAATGCTGACACATTTTTGCTGGTAATATGATAATTAAAAATAAAAAAAAGAAAAGTTGAAAATTTGAGTATGAATAGACTAATGTAGCCATTAGTCTATTCATATCCAAATCTTTTCATAACCGCTAGTTTCAACAGAAATACTTAGTATTTCCTTATAAATAATAATCGCAACTCATTGCTTGTGATTGCAAGAAAAGATATATTAAGCAAGATTTTAAAAAGATTTAAAAATTTGATAAGGTGGCCTTTTCATATGACATACCGTGGGATTTCATAGGTGAGTGAAAAGGTCAGGTTCATTATATTTTCAAAGATTCTCTTGTGGACTAGAGTTCCGGATGTTATACTTCACTTAACAAATCCTTAGACACAAATAATAAGTTATACGGACTTTTACTTATATAAGTGCAAGCGACGCACTTCTCCATTAAAAATCCAGTGCTGCTATCTATTTTCTATATGCAGTCATGAATTTAAATTCAAAATGCGGTTTGTTCCGAATTTTTTTTTTATTGAAAGAGGCTAAGCAGCCATTTAACCCTTAGGCTTAGTTTTGTTTACAGTCTGGTCTGGGCCCTGTTTTTTAAAAAATAACAAAAAAAAAAAAAAAGATAAGATCTATTAACCCGTAAACACCACTAATTCCAATATACTTTAATGAAACTCGTTTATATACATTATAGCTCATCAAGTTTTAAAGTATTTTAATGGGTAGAGCAGATGATATTTAAGAATTTTCTTATAGATTATAGAAAGAAACATTAATTTTAATTTAGACTAAAATTATTTTTGAGTTTAATTGCAATTTTTGTCCTTTTTTTTAAAAACTTAAACGATGATTAATATATAATAAATACTCTTAGATAATTTAACTGTTTAAGTAATTAAAGCATTTCAAAATTAAATAGTTTTTGAACAGACACTTAAGCTTGTAGTATAAGGCATACTCCATATAACAGTATTAATTTAACATATAAAAACACGAGTAAACCTACGTAAATAACTCTTCCTTTCGTCAAGTCTTCAAGATTTTAGATTTTATTTTTATCTGTCTTGATAATTCGATTATGATAATTGATGCCTACCTACTTGTGTATTTTATTGAAGAATACATAAGTAGAGCTTCGCGATTATATCTCGAGACGATCTTTTGTGTGAAAATCTAGATAAATAGCTTATTATCTAACCTATCTTAAGTCTATAGAAAATAGAGTAGAGTAAAAAAAGTGTAGAATCAACAGGTGCAAAGTAATTGGCATTAGGTTTGCATTTTCGAAAAGATTGAAAACGTTATTTTGTATGACGGATTACTCATGCCATTTCATGTGTGGTTCGTGTCTTCAACGTGATGTTCATCATAAACGAATGGGAAATTTTTAACCGTGTACAAAGTGCGACCTTTCAGCACTTCATGTATGAAAAGCAGGCATGCGTCATTTTCTTATCAATAGAATTTTTGTCACATCGTAAAACATACATGATGAATACATATCGAATGAATCTCCAGCACGTTTACTTGCACAAGCAATCTGTTATCGGAGTGTGTAATATTTTACTTCTCCCTTGTAGGCTAAATAGATTTCTTTTGATGTATGGTGATGTTCGTCTAACACGTTTAATATTTGATTCGAAGTTAAGAAATAACTCATTGATCTTATACGATTATTCTCGAGTATCGTAGGTGTTGTTTCTTGATTCCATCATCTAGATATACGCATGTTTTACACGCTGTTTAGACAAATAAGAATATCGTTTTATCATGTATCTAAGATTTTAGAATTTCTAAGTTTTTACTGTTCAAGTTTAAGTAGAATAGATTATATCTGAAATGAAATTATATAACTCAACTAAAGAAAGTGTAATTTTTGATTTAGTTGATTCGTAAGCTGTACGAAAATTGTTTGAAATTTTAATATATAATTTATTTGAAAATGTTTTGTTCAGAATTTTGAAAACTTTATCATATTATATTTATGTATAGAAGTTTTAACTAAATTCTTGATTTTAGTAGCATACTATATTGACGATTTTAATCTTTTTTAAATTAGTAATAAAATTTTTATAATATTGTATATTAAATTTGTTATAATTATTTAGGAAATTAAGTTTATATAGCGTCAAATGGTTTAAGACTGTAATATTATAAATTTAGACGATAAAATTAAAGAAAACAATCTCTAAATTATTAGAGATTTAACAAGTTAGATTTAGAGATTATGGAAAGATATTTTAAAAATTACAATATAAGAGCTGGTCCCTTCATGACACAATTTTTCTCCTTATGAATTTTGAAGTAAAGTTGTCTTCGATTTCATAACTAATTTTAACTTGAGGAATAATAAGGTTATTCAACTTAAGATAATTCATATATGTGATCTAAATATCCAGATATTGGATCTAAAAAATTGATTTAAGCAAGTTCATGATTTATTATTGGTTGGAATTTCTTATTTCTTTGGATAACTTTTGTGCAGTCTCTTAGGAAAAGACATTTTCGACCGAGTTTACTTGGACTAACACAGGCAATTTAATCAGTCGATTTAATGTGGCTTATCCTTTTTCCTTTTCGAGTCTTCCCCCACATTTTGACAAACGACTTGATGTCCAAATGACAGTCCTAACGGCAGGCGGTATATCTGCACTTGACAAAAGTGTTAGGTCATGAAGAAGTCTACTTCTTTCGGACCAACCATGCACTTCTACATGGAGACGGACGTGATTTATCTGACTTCAGGTAATTGATGTTGTTGTCATGACATTACTCAGGAGCGAAGTTCGACCACGCGATGCGAAGAAAGTGGTCCGATAAATTCCGATGTGGACCGGTGCATGCCAAAATTAGAGCAGGGATTGTATCCAACGCAATGCATTCCAATCCTTTTGTTCAAAGACATTGTTTCTTTTCCGACTTAAAATAGAGCCTATTAATTTTATTGAATCCTATAGGCCTCTACATTTTTTCGTGTCCTTCAAAAACTGATCTAGAAGATTAGTGAATGACACTACATGGACTTGAAATCAAAACAAAAGGAGTTCAAAGAAAAGTAACCTAAATAAATATTCAGTTTTTTAATTTAAAGACAGAATCATGTTTGTTTACTTTATGTAAAACAGCATTTCAAATCAATTATAAACAATAGAACTTAAATTACTTAGACGGATATTCAGGTCTCACTAACACATCAGTGCATACTTAATGCATAAAACCTGTCCTTTGAATTTAATGAGGTATTAAAATTGTAAATAACATTATTTAATTTATTAAAGCTCAAAACTTAATTAACTCTGTGTAAAGCAAAAAAAAAATAAGTTTTTATGAAAGTTTTAAAAATTTTTTAATCATCTTAAGCAAACTTTTTCGATTCTCAATTACTTTCAGAATCAAGTTCTAAATAAATGGTCTAAATAAATGGGATTTTGTTTAATTTCCCATTTGAAGAGAGAAATTTCTAATTGGTTAACTTTCTAATCAAAAGTCTATTCAATGAGCGGGCACTAATTGCATTTCCCATCGAATAGGATAAATGTGTTTCATGCACGGAAAGACAAATTATCATATTTTTTTGCCTAAAGATAAGAGGCCTATCTTAAGATTACGGCATCATTTGTTATTTGTTATTCGAAATATTTCGTTCAAAAAATTTTAACTAAAAACATCAAGTTATAACTTAAAGGAAAAAAAATCTACAATATTCGAACAAAATTAAGTGTCATCTATCGAAATTGCCTACGTAAATTTAAAATAAATTAAGAATAAATATAATATCTACTAAAAGATCGGCATCTAAAACATAAAATATCATCATATCATCCATATATGGCCTAGGATAAGTGATGAAGTCTAAGCATAAAAAATGCAATTAGGTCTTTTTGGCGAATCAATTTTTTGCTTGTCAAGATTTCTAAAACTTATTAAGTTTAATCGGAACGGGCTAATCTAGCTTGGAACCACTTATATGTGTGCTAAATGATGTCACATAGTTAATTAATTTATGAGTGTAATCTATTTGAAGATGCGACGTTGTATTCGACGACAAGAAAGACAACGCCCACATATGAGCTCGGATGTGGAATTAATCTATGTAGAACAAGCAGGTGGAACATTTTCAACATACAGATGGTCTCTATGCATGCATTATATGCAATTAAAAACAAATTTTTACTTTAAATAATACAGATTTACGGAATGTTAAACCGCTTCACTTAAACAGAACAGATTCGCTAATTAATTAATTAGCACAATTTACTCATTATTTGCACAATTATTTGCACAATTTACTCATTTATTTTTAAATTTCGAATTGTTCTTAGAAATCTACACTAGAGTAATCATTACGAAAGTATAAACTACCGCTAACAGTTTCTTGAGTAAATCCAGGAGGACATGTTGAAAAGCCAACAGATTCCAAAGAGGAATTATCTATCGGTACCTTGTGCGAAACCATGTTCCCCGAAATTCCCCCGAAGAGGCCTAAACAAAATCTCAAGAGATATTTACTACAACCTGTTGATAAGGGACCACCCCGTCCCATCCAGGAGTGGGGCAAGGTGTCAGGCATTGTCGGACGCATGGAACATTTGTATCTGCCAACTCTACTATACTCCATTGGTTGACTAAGTATCACGTGGACCAGAGTCCAGCGTCTACAATCGAAGGAGGAATTTATCAATAAGGTGGAAAAAGAAAAAGCAGTGACCCACGTAATAAAAAAATGAAGATTTTTACAATCTATCGCCAAG